AATTTTCAAAAGAAACACACATGTGCACTGAAGTTGATCAATAATGATATCTTAGTAAAATTCATCTAGTCAAAGATATAACACAGGAGAGTGTAACAACACATGTGACACTTGAAATTTTTCTCAGGTGTTTAATTACAGTCTACTTTACTGTATGAACAACAATGTTAAAAATCTATAATGAATAACAAAAAGTATCATGTAACAGACAGTAACTCTGGAAGATCCTTGGTAAGATAGCATACACATACATACATAGTTTAAGGATTACAGGAACTCACAGACAAAATTACTAGCTTTATTATGATTCACTGCTGTGACTGGAGTATTGTTCATGTATTCTATAGCGAAGCCTATTTATTTTATTGGAAAGCAGAGCTGAAGATAACGCTTAGACTAAAACTGAACGCTCAGAAAGCGAATAATATCATTTTTGGCAAAATAATTAGATTATTGGTTATGAGACGCAAATCAGTTGGCAATATTTCGGAAATCATAGCCTGAAAAGCGGTTTTTTAAAATGGAACAGTCTGTCTATGTACTCATGAGTCAGTCTTGTAATACATGGAAAACCAATTAGTAGAGTGATGCATTCCAGAAAACTAACCCAAAAGTCTCACTGTGTAGTGATACACCGGCATGCAGATGAACCAAAATTGAGTTTTACCTAGCTGACAGACCTATATAATTAAATGAATTTACTGGTTTTCTACCTTACCATCAGTAACTAGTCTTCAGACTCTCTGTTATTATTTATATTGCCTTACCAGTAAAAGGAAAATCGAAATGATTGAATGCAGGATAAAAATTCGATTAGCAGTTGATTTTCTACACCCCTTCCCTAAATGAGAAATTCATTGCAAGAAACCAAAAAATTATAATTTCATATATACATGACTGATTGATGAAAGTATCTGGAAAACATACACATCAAAGTGTAATGTCCTCTAAGCAGCCTAAGGTGATCTTACTACCAGATAACCGTTTCCATAGTTTTTGGGCGTGTTCACCAGTGATTTACTGGGACTCATTCGATTCATAGGACCGAATCTGTGAAGACCAACTCAGCTCCGGTGAAGTGGTAGATATAGAAACAAAACAGACATTTACAGAGTGCACAATCTATAGTGACATTTCAGTGTGGGTCCCTCTAAAAACCAATATCATTTCATTTGGTAGACAATGGATTGAAGCAATCCGCGTAATCTGTTAGTCATGCTGGCTCCAAACAAGCCAAAAAGCTGGTGCCTCCATCTAGCTAGTTGGTCTGTGATATCTTCATCTACTCTTTTCAATCTGTAGTATACATAGTACTGTTTTCATGATCCCAATCACAACAAAATACACGGTGGCGATCAGATCATACTTTACATTGGTACGAGAACAACTGTGAAATGTCACTTGGGATAGCATATTTTTTCTGAAGATGTTATAAAAGTCAATGGTTCATGTTCTCTACATTCCAAAAATTACACATAGACTTATGCAAACAGAATTATTGTTTTACATTTTACAAATAACAGTACGCAACTTACTTTGGATGTAAATTTTATCAAATGATTTCCACCAAATTTGTCTTACTAAAGATATGTAAGATAAATCCGTGTATATACATATGTGTGTGTGTGTATTTTAATAACAGAAAAAAGTTGAAGAGCAAATGGAATATTGATTCACAAATGGCTGGTATTTTTCCGACTTGAATTGTTTATTACCTGTTCTATACATTTAATCGCAAAAATAGCGTGTCATCAGTGTGAACATTTACAGAACAATTGTGTTACAAAATGATGCTTCTGTTATTAAATTCTTGATTATAACGACTCAGATTGATTGAATGAATGTTCTAAGCACAAACACATGCATACTAGCAGACATTCACAGATGCAGACATATGCATACATACATACAACCACTGTATATGCAAAAACAAATCCACTGAGTCAAATCCTTGAAACTTGCAGCAGTCGTTTTATAATTGATGAAAACTTCAGAGTATTAACACAGTGAATGAAAATTTATTGATCTAAGTGCTTCAACCATATATTTCTCAATATTTGATTTCGGCAGTATTCTGTGATATAAAAAGGATATATCTATGATCTTTTCATCTAATAAGAATAGTCAAATGTTAGTGATTAAAATTCTTCAGGTATTTTTAGCTAACCAACATCGTCATTACGACCGCATTGAAACGATTGGCTTCTCATAGATTTGCATACAGACATATCATATCTATGGTCACACTGAAAAGTACGCAGGCATGCATGCACACTTATTGATTTGTGGTTCTCACTGTATGTCTTGCCAACAATTTCACAATTTGTGTGTGAGCAAAATGTGTGTGTGTGTGAGTGTGTGCGTGAATGTGTGTATAATGAACATACACACGTGTCTATTAATCGGACACACTATTGCTGTATTATAGTGAGTCTGGAACGTGACTTTCACGACATACAAACTGGTTACAAAAAAAAATCAAACAACCTAAATTATTCTACCTGCAACACAGTACTGATATGCAGCACACCACGAAAAAGCGATTTAGGTTAAAGGTTAAGTTTCTTTAACGAATGAATTATTTGTCTTGTCTTGTCCATGTACTAGTTTTTTTCGTCATTTTATCGATTAGTCAGTAGAATGAGTCAAGATTAGCGGCAACCTATCACGAGTTCAACTGAAGGCTTTGTAGGGAGACGCTTTATATCAGAGAGTTTTTGCCAAAAAACCCATAAAACACTGGATAATTGTTTTCGTGTAGCTTGGCATTATTCAATAGTGCTTAGTTTTGATCCCGATGATGATCAAACTTGGAACTATGTTGGTGGTCTATAAGAACGACATACTCGAGCGTTAGGATTTTTACAAGGCTTTAAGATTAAATAATGTTCATTCCAACTTGTAAATAAAATCCCCCGAAAGTAAGACCCGACAGTCTTTAGTGAAACCGAGAAAAGATTAGGTGGTCTACAAGTATATAAACCAGAACAAAATAGATGCCTAATACTATGTTATTTACAGAGGTTCCCTAGGTAGTTTTTATTTGTAACAAGTAATATAATAAAGTCAGCCAGCAGCTATTTACGAAGGTAAATTTGATTATGGCTTTGAATATTTTCATCCACAGAACTCGGACGTAGTCAAATTGATATGAGTAACCACAGCTAACTAACTATAGCTTTTTCATTGGACACTAGTAACTGGTGTGACGTGTCTCGTCCTTTCTTTGGTGCAGACTGAATTCTGTCAGTCATGTTTGCAATGTGGCCACCATCCTAGGCCACATTCTAGACGCGGGTTCGAATCTCAGAAGGGACATCAGTTCCTTCAAGGTTGCAGATACACCTTGCTCACGAGTGCCAACTAGCACGAAACCTAGGTCCAAGGCTTCCTGCCAATTGCCTCCAACTATCTGATTTTTTTCCTTCACGTTCCCCAGTGGAACATAGGGCCCCAAGCTAGTGGCTTGAAGTTTCTGTAGCAGTATTTTAATTTTAGAGGATGGGGTTGCTAGCCTCATGCCCAACCTTCCCTCTTTACCAGCATTATTTCTGGCTTGGCGAGGTAGAGGAGTGCGTCGGTGGCCGGGGGTCGAACCCCACACCAAGTGCATGGTCGGCGAGCGTCCTAACCGCTATACCACTGACGCACCAACTATCTAATAACTATAGCTTACTTTGAAAGAATACAGGTTCATACAACTCTTGGTTAATACAACTCAAATGTACTTAAACTTAAAACAATGATAACAACCATATCATCATCAACATTATCATCATCATTAAGGTATATGCATCGTTAAGTAGTTCAGACAATCATGTTACAGCTTAAAGTTGATATTCAGTTTGTACAATTTGTGGGATTTTGTCACGATCCAATACTAGTTGGAGAGATTATTGGTGCTGGCAGGGCAGGAGTCACTCAAGCGCAGCCCAAATGGCTGAATGGTCAACGAACTTGGCCTCGTAACCTGAAGGTTCCGGGTTCGCCCCTTGGCGAGGTCGTGGGATTCACCACCGAAGAGTTTCGAAATAGGACGAAACCAGTGCACCCTAGTTAACAATGATCTCTCTAACTGAGTTTGCTTCTTGACAAAAATCTAACAATTGGAATTGTAATCGACAAATTCTAGTTCTTTCTTGGCTTAATTAGACTTGGATAGCTATTTAAAACTACCACAACCTATCTTAAATAACTTGTAGGGTTATATCCTAAGTACATACATGATGCTAAACTTTATTTGTTATTAGTTAACAAATCAAACGAATTACATCTTAGCAACGTATACATTAGAAAGTGTCTAGATATGTTTTCGTTGTTAACCGTTTAAAACTACTAGAAAACTGCCAGCAGTCAAAATTAAGAATTAGGTTATTACAGTGAAATAGATTACTTTTCTCTCAGCAGTACATCTTTCTTATTTGTTCAAATAAAATGGAACAAAAAAAACGAAATACACTGTGACTTAAGTAATTAGATCCATTGAAAAACTTTAGTTCTACTCCCTCAAGATGTATCATATAACTTCAACTGTATGTATTTGTTGAGGGGTGTCTGCCAGCGAAAATTGGTAAACAGCAATTTACGTCAATGTTTACTTCCCAAATCTTGGTCATAAGAAAAACAAGAACAAAGACTTTGAGTGGGCGGATATGATTCGCAGATATATGGTCTAACAATCAAAGAAATGGCCACAAAGAGATGAGAGATTAACTTCCTGTGAGAAAACAACCAGTCAAAAGACGCTATTTCTCTGCCAGTTATAAAGAATAATAATGTACATAAAAATATGTCTGTTGACTTTCTCAATAAACGATCTGTTGGCTGGCTCCTATATATATATATATATATATATATATATATATATATATATATATATATGAAATATTTAAATCAAGTGTTGACTATAGTCATAGCAGTGTATCATAGAGCTGTATGCAGTCTTTTATTAAATTATTTAATTTATAGATAAAGATATCAGCCAGCCATTAACTACTTACATCAATTGCTTCCATTTCAGCATCATTTTGAGTCAAAATCATCTGTAAACTGTCACGATTTAAGTTATCCTTAGATACGGTGATTCTTTCCATGCTATCCTGTGTTTCCATAACTGAACTGCCACTGGATCCAGCTCTTTCGAGAAATTTATAATTCGACAATTTTTGTTCATGCATCATCTCCACATCATTACCAAGTGAACTGTGACGTGAATGTGAGGTGGCAATAAATTCCTTTGAATTAGTTGTAACTGATGGAAGAATATTGACTAACATTTTGTTCACTTCTTCTGTACGTTCATCTAACCAGTCTGATAAAACACTTGCTTCTTCTTCAAAATGTCTCCAGTGTAATAAAGCATTCTGTAAGGAAGCATAACGTGTATTCACCCAACCAACTAAACGACTCCATCGTGTAGCCAATTCAGCTATCACATTTTCTAATCCACGTTCATTTACATAATTTTCATCATTATCAGTTGTTTTTTGTGGAACTATAGTTATGAAGTTGTCTAAGCGTTCAGCTAAAGCTTCACCGGATTCAATTAATTGTTCCAGATGTCGATTAGCTTCAAGTTGTTTCTTTACATCAGTAATCGATGGACCAATCGATTGACTTGCTTGAGTGTTCCTGGTGTTATTTTCAAAAATCAGATCAATTTGTTTACAAGGAAATAAGTATCTCATATAATTATACTGTCAATAACAATAACTATAAGATTCCAGTGTACAGAAGTAAATTTTCTCACTTTTAATGTAAGGCATCATTTTATTCCATTTCCAGTTATTTACCATATCCATTTGCGCATAACGAAAAGCATTTTCACTAGATTTCCTCCACTTCCTCCACTTGACAGTGACTTTCAGATGTCCAGAACGCATACACAGCAGGAAACTCTAGGAGTGAACTAGTCGTGAACTTATTGCTAAACAAATATGCGGATAGAAATAGATATACACTGAAAATAGACTGTCGAGTGGAACTCGAATGAGAAGCTGAGGATTGGGTGTCTAAGAGTGATGTGAACGAGAACATGTGAAGAGGTGAAGAAAGCTTGCGAGCAGACATTCGAAATTGATGACAGAAAACCGAGTACAGTTTGAATACATTGCCGAACCCCGACATTTTACTCGGAAAGTGAGGAATGATTAATAACCTAATAATATAACAATCTAGCTGTAACAATGTTGAAAGAATTTAAGTTAAACTCTGTAGATTATTAGTCATCAAGGAGAGATAATACGTATTCCATATTTCATTGAAAATTCAATTCCTAAAGCAATGGAACTTTATTTATGACCAGAGGAAATGATAAGAATGTTGTCTGGGTAGAAAAAATTATGGCAAGCCTTCTGGTTGATCTATTCCGTACAAGTGAATCTATTCAACAGCGTTTGTTTACCATGTTGATATCAGTTTCGCATCTTCCGTCGATCAATTAGACCGGAATGTTCGGTCTCTGTCAACACACAGATAAATGCAGCTGACCAGTCACAAATAGGACTAAGTGAGCGTCGTGGGTCCCGCTACCAGTTAGCATCCACAAAGTAACAGCATTTGTTTACCACTCGCACAAAGCTTAAAGGAATATTGCTTTGTTATGATTTAACTACTGAATCATTTGTTAGTAGCTCAACTTGTTCGCACAACAAACAGAAATGATATTTTGTAACTGTCTTTGCATGTCATTTGAAATATCCATAAATTTTGTCAAATGGTTCTTGTAACTTTTATATGTGCAAGTCTGCTACTATGTTTGGACGTAAAACTGACGCTAATTTTAGTTTGATATTGTTACTTACTAACTTCTTCAGTAATGCTGTCTTGTAAGCGAGAAAATTTCTCAAAATTACCTTTAGTCTTAAATGATTCTAATTTGCCTTTATTGGCTATTGTAAGCTTAAATTAATGGATTTATAATTGTAGAGCCTGAGGAAGAATTGATTGAAAATAATTGTCCGCCTTAAATATTATCTTCTGAATTCTTAAATGAACTGATAAACGTTACTTTATTCAAGTAACAATATTTCCCAAATTAAATCATGTGGTATAAATTGTTAGAAAGAAAAACTCACTGTTCGCTTTCCAGCTTATCAAGTTGAATGCGTATGGCACTCAAAAGCATAGTTTGTCGTCTTAGCAGATTGGCAGTTATACGTTTGCCTATTGCGGAGTTTAAACGACACAAATTATTCCACCTTGTCGCCAGAAGAACAGTTTGCCTTTGAATTACAAGAGGGTCTAATTCACGTAATTTTTGTTGTAGCTGTAGTTGTCTTTGCTTCTCTTCATCACTATTAGCATCATTTTCTTCACCACAACCACCACTACCATTGTGGGTACATTTAACACCTGCTTCACTTCCATTAGCTTTTAAAATATTGCCTAAATTTTCATGTATTTTTATTAAACGATTCCCAAGACGCAGACAACGACCAACAGCCATTTGGCGACGTGATAAATGCGCTGTCAAATCCTTATTTTCATTGCAGCAATTTCGAAAAGAAGAAAAAAGGTATGAGGCAACATACTGATGAAGCATAATCTTTTTATGATTACAAATCGTTTTGTAGTTCAAACCATTTTATACAATTTAAGAGACACAAACTACCAGGATAAGCTAATCAGAACATCATCTTGTGGGGTACCAAATATTCACATTCTAAGACTTACTTATACAAACAGTTAAATAAAACAAGATGCGGCGTTCTAAACGCTTTGATCGTCGGAGTTAAATCCACACAAATTCAACGCTCACAAGGATATTCTCGACCGGTGGATCAGGTTGGACAGTAAAGCCTTGGACAATTTAAAGAACTGAACTCATTCTACCTTGTGTACATATGTCAACTGGTTAGATTGGAAATTAACTTCAATCAATACAATTGATGCAGAGATGTTAGCTGCATATACTCTGCCTTTCTATACACTCTGAAGACGTGAAAATGTTTTATTTCATTGCCCCTGTGTGCATATCTCTGAATATAATTTAAGGATAAACCTCAGTCCATTATCATCATATGAGACCCCAGGGAGACATATATCCTGAGGTCTGCTAACAATCTGTTGATCAGATTTTAAAATTTTACGAGTATTACACCATATTTTCACTTTCAGATGCTTGAATTTAGCTTGTACGAGTCCACATAATTTCTTTGCTTTTCTTTATCAAGTAAACGGTTGAGAGTCATTCACCTCTGGATGCACATATGCACTTCAGACTGAAATGGTAAAAATCTTTGAATTTAATTAAAGTGGACAGCTTCTGCAGTTTATTAGTTCACCTATGCTGTACCCTGATTTCACTGAACTTTCTGTGCTCGTATGGTTAAAAAAAACTCATCACTGTTTTGACTTTGGGACTAGTCTTCCAGATAAGGGGAAATTTCACTAGGATCCTTTTCGTAAACTGAAATGATCCACCTAACGTTACATAACGGTTGAAAATTACAGACAAAACGTGCCAATGACCGATATTAATGATGGGAAATCACTCACAACGACCAGTGAGGTGTGTTAGATAAGTCTAGATCCATAATCCGACGGATACTCAATAGCTGTCTTGCTACATATGCTAAACATAGGGCAGACACTTAACACCTGTTTATATTGAGACTACATATGGCAATTTTAGAGATAATTTTGCAATTTAATTTACCATAAACTGGGGTATGTGTTGATGATAACTAATAGATGAACATCGTCACACTCCATCTGCTCTGACTTGTAAGCATTAAGATGAAGAGAATCAAAATAATGTTTAGTTTAGGTCCAGTGACTCTAGAAGTAAACTAAAGATTGTGAACTTCGCTGAGTCTTTACATCTCGCCATAGAAATCATCTCCAAATCAGTAAAAACCGACAGCATGTAGTACTCACCTTCCTACGCGTATCTCTCAAAAAAGCACTGATTAAATCAACATGAGATCACACGCACAAGCTAGTCAAATACTATTCTCTTACCTCATGTGTTTCAAATCGATCTCTGGCTTCATCAATATTTTTCAGGATACCAGCATGCATTAGTTTAGTTTCAGTTGAATTGGCTTTCTGAAGACGTGCAATGAAATTCTTATCCTCTTCATTGTGCAATGACTGTAGATGTTCAGCCTTATTTAATGAATAATTAGTGAAATTACGCGTATCATCTTGTAGATCATTTTGTCCAAATTGTTCTTCCATGGCTAATAACCAAGCAAGTGTACTTTCAATTATTGTTTCAAAATTATCTGGATCAGGTAGACGATTCGGATTACCTTCCGTATCAAAATCATCATCAGAATCACCTTCAATTTCATCATCAAGCCAGGTAAGCTCTGAAGTACTACTTGTTGATGTTGGTGAAGATCTACTTTCGACTAACACATTCGGCTCTTCACCTGTCTGTCCATGAATCTAAATTGGAAAATATACACAAGTTCAATACACTATAGCACTCTGAGGATAATTAAGCGTCAAACAAAGAGTAACTCATGGTCGAACGCAGATGATTACATGATACTAGTTATCTAGTTGGTTCTCAGTAGAATGAATGGAAACAGCCGGAGACTAAAATAGTCTCAGGCGATTTTAGTGAGGATAAAAAATGAGTGCAGACAACCAGTTTATTAAAATATCTACAATTACAGATCACTGGTTTTTCCTGAGAAAATTAGGAAGTGTGTGCGTGAGATAAACAGGAGACTTGCCTAAAGGTTGATTATTGTAAATAAGCTATTTATATCTCGCTAATGAAAGAATGTACACAATGTGTTAACTAAGCCTAATCATTGTAGCTAAATAACTAGCCATCCTACTATGAAATTGTGTCTGTTGGATACGTCTAGTACTTCTCACTATCAAGGTAAACACATACGAAGAACAATTTCGCGATTTCACTATGCTAAAAACGTCACTAACATACTTAATAGTTGTTGATAAAGTCTCATTGTACAGCATGCAGTCATGTAACAGCTTACAGACGGTTCACATCAGAAGTGGTGTCCACCATAAATACTAAGTGTCACTGTTCTTTGGACAGCGTTACTAGAAAATGTAGATTAATAAATTATCTTGTAATAATACTATCAAAATTTGTTAAAAGGAGTAATTTTTTAAAGGTTAATATTCTTATTCAGCTCTTCATAAGCATGCTGTTGAAAGTAGCTAGACACCACAAAGAGATCTGATCTACGCAACCAAGTGGAATACTCATGTCTGCCAGAGACATGGAAAAACTGTAGTCTCCTAAAAGCGCTGAAGTATCTAAACACTTGTGTCAAATGTTACAGGACTGGTCTCTAATAAACAGATAACTTATGGAGAAAGAAAGAAAGAAGAAAACACCAAGTTCAGTAAAGATATCTTTTCGGCGATTTCATTTCCACAAGCTGTACAATCGCATTTAAGTATATAATTTTTCAATGGATACAATTCTTGTTTGATTCCACATAATTACGACGGCGAATAAAAGTTGAAAATTACTTTCAACTAGATATGGTTTATGAGAGGCTTAGAAACAAAATTACACAGTATTAAAAGGGATGACAAGTGTGTAAAAATGAGCATGGAAACAAAATTGAAACAATAATTTTCAACTTAAGATGGGAGTTAGGAGGTGCAAATATAGATTACCAGAGCCTTAGAAACAAAAATTATAAAGGGTTACAACGAATTACTGGCGTATAGAAAACGGGCATGGAAACAAAATGAAATAATTATTTTAACTTGAAATGGAAGTTAGGAAGTGTGAATATAAATTACAAGAGCCTTAGAAACACAAAAATTGCACAGGATTAAGACTTAATTGTAAAATAGTTATTATAAATGTTAACAGGAAAAGCATGGAAACAAACTTAAAATAACTGTTTTTTTATAAATGAAAAATGGAGTGAATCGAATGAAGACAGAGAAAGTAAGAGAAAGAGTGAAGTAATTAAATTTTTTTTAATTTTTAAATTTTATTATAGCTTGATTCCAAGCAGTATTTTGATACAAATATGGAATTTTCAGCATATGATATCGGCAGCCCAAATTTAGCTGGCCAACCATTGATATCAGGTGTGCGTCGGCCGGGAATCGAACCCCGGACCATATGCATGATCGGCAAGCGGTGGTCATCAAAGTTGCATCACTTATGACCAACTACCTGCTGACAAAACCTTGGTGTGAATGTATAACTTTGCCATCGTCACAACCACCATATTCTTCTCAAAATTGACATCCATCTAAATATGTGAGAGTATCCGTAGTATACGACCAAACAGCTGTAAAACATCGCCGCTGAAAGTAGATTACATGTGGTCATTGGAGTTTTTTAACTGTGTATGCTTTTGTTCAAGTGGTAACATTGTATGCAACAACACGGAGAGTAATGAGGCGACTTAGAGTGTCAGATGAGGAAAGTTATTCAATCAATGAAGGCGTGAAAACTAGTCGATTGAGATAGTAGACACATGTATTACGTATTCTGATCCACTTCCTCTCCAGAAGGTGATGTCAGCCAAACTAAGGTTAACGTGATGCGAAAAGAACATAACAGCTGTGTATGAAGTCGGCTACCACTGCATAGATAAATTTAAATCACCTGATTAGGGTCTCTGAGGCGTTAATGGTCATTGGTTGTGGACACTTGATACTGCTCAAAATTCTTTGTTTCTTGGCATGCTTGAAATTCTGAATTCCTCACTAATCTTTATTGAATTATTCCCTTTTAAATACTAATATCCATTCATTTTACTACCGTTTAGTCTCCCATCTCTCACTTAATTTATGCTTTTCTAAATCTTCGCTATTTTAACAACCTTGTATTCAGTTGTCATGGTGTGGACATACTTTCATTTCATCAATTTTGTTCCTATCCAGTATAAACGTTCCCTAGTGAAATTTTTGTTTTCAAGGTCCCGGAAAATATGCACGAGAGACACACTGATGATTATCCAGAAAACTTTACCAACTACCACAGTACGGATAAACCGCATCTTGAAAAGACAGCTCCTATACCAAAGAAAGCTATCTTTGTTAGCCTATCATTCAGGGGTGATCAAACTCAGCAGTTAGCAGCTCAAAGACTTCGGTCAGCCATCAAACGCACATTCTACACCGCATCTCGTACCCTAACAACTCGAACATTTTCGATCCCTGTACCTAAGATTAAAGGATGAAATTCTGTGGACTCTACATCAAACTGTATCTACAAGTTCACTAATAGAAGGTTCCAATTTCGTCGAAAAGAACACGTTCCAAAATGGTTATTAAAACATAGAGATAATCCTAATGCAATTAATCTGAATAGAAATCCAGCATCATCCACTACAAAGCACTTATCAATGTAAAGTCACAAAATCAATTTTAAAGATCGCTTAACGGTTAGTTCACATAACTCTAATTCAAGGTTATTAAAGGTGATGGAAGCACTTTGGATTATTCACATACCGCCTAAACTATGTATACAGAAATCAATAGACATCAACCTTCGCCTACCATGGACTACCTGACCTATTTAAACATAATTGGTCATTAGTATGTACTTTTGTTTTATATAACTGAATAATTGTCATGCATTTTATTTTATTATTGTGAACCATGTTAGTTGTAAAGCAGTTGTAAAGAAACCACGAAATGATATCATCTCGCGAAATTTGTCTTTTAACTGCCTTATTCTAATATGTCTGTGTCTGTTCTTCATAAATAACGTAGCCTGAATTCTCAAGTATTGGTTTAGTAGGGATATGGTTTGATTGGTTGGAGGATTTCATCATGAGATGATGTCAGTTAGAGAAACATTGGAAAACCTGGGAGCACTGGACAGCTGCTTCGTCCTAATCTTGGACTCATCAGCAGTACGACGATGGGTGCGTATTGAAATACTCCAACCAATAAAACCTGGATTTACTGACTCTCAAAAAATCGCAGTATAAATAGATATTTGTAGAAAGGTTTTAGAAATAACATAAGGGATTTTAGCTCGGGTGGATGGTTTTTATTTGGTTGTGTTCTCTAAGTTGGTTTTACTTGCCAGCTTTATTTCAGAACATGTATCTTGCGCAAGGGAAGCACTGGAAGCTTATCATTTTTTTCAGCTAAAGGAAGACCGGTGGTTGGTGTTCTCAATTTTCAGTTAATATGCTTAATCAATCAAGTTTTCATTATTTTTCCTAACTAATAATTTTTGCTTAAAATAGAAGTCACTACTGTTACTTCTTTCACCAGTAATTTTTGTCAATAATACATTCCATGTATAAAGGGCGTTCACAGATAGTACCGGTATTCACTTCTATTTAAAAGACTCTTGAACTTTCCTGTCTTACTGTTGTTCAGCTGACAGAAGTTTACATTCTTTTTTAAAAAATTTAACTGGATCAATAACACTCGTACTATTATTTCTGAATGTTCAGTATCTTATATTGACTTTTATTCAAATGTCTAATTAATTCCACTCATGCATATAAATGAAGGAAAAAAGTTGTGTGAGTAACTTGATATGATTATGAGCAATAGTTTTGGCTCGAAACGTCGTCAGTTAATATTAATGTATAACACTGTGTGTGATTTATCAAAATAAAATCTTATCTGTGATGGGGTTATACTCTACCACAGTGCCCAAGTTTTATACTTATATCACTACTGTTTCGGCTCTGATTTTAGGTTCATTTCCATACAAATTTTCCGTATTATTCGCCCTAATCTTTAATCCTTTTATGTGTCTTTCATGTGGTTGCACCAATAAAAGGTATTAAATTGTAATAGCAGAAGGCAGGACGTGGAAGCCAAGGTATATTTTTCATTATATATGGTTTATATTCTTTAACCAATCATTGAGCTTGTGATTTTGGTTTACATTAAACAACATGGAAAAGAATGTTCCCATACATAGTATTCTGTTGCTAACGTAGTATTCAACTGTGGGAGTAATCTTTTGACTGTATCAACAAACAGAATGTTCACATACATACATCGTGTTCTGTTGCTAATGCCATATTGAACTGTGGAAATACGTGAGAATAATTTTCTCTGTTGGAACATATTGTCCGTATTACACCACCACAAAATTAATTCTTAGTTTGGTGGATGTATACGATATTTTTCCTCACCATGGTAATATTATTTTCTGTTGTAATTATTTTTAGTCTTAAAGTGTGAAAATTTCACACCTCTCATACTCTAAATCTTAATATTCAACTCCACTGATTTTAGCTACTTTAACCTGATTGCTTTATTAAACACATATTTTCTGGAACAACCTGTACTAGTGATTTCACACCTCCCAAAGATCTTTCCACTGATTTTATGTCTAATCTACCTTTTTATTTAGGAAAAATTCATCCACTCTTTCGACGTGCAGATAACCTTGCTAGCCTGTCTAGTAATTGCGGATACCAATTGGGTGATAATTATATACTCCCATTTTTACATTAAGTGACTGAAGTATGCCGAAGATGATCTGTGTATTTTCATGTCAGAATCTTTGTCGGAATGCAAACAGTTGAAAAGAATCGATGAAACATAGTAGTAGTATTACATCACCTTTTTTCTGTTGTTCCCGCTCTATGCAAGTTGATCAAAGGAAAAAAAGTGCTTAAAATAAATCTGAATTGTAAGGATGAGTTTCTCTGTAGACATGAAACAACCACTATTAAGAATTTTATGAAACACATACAATAGGTTAAGAGATTTGAGAAGACATTTGAAACAAAACGTCAGTCTCGTGCCACGCGGACGAATGGTCACTTTGTATTTATAAGTAAATAAGGCCATAGTAAAAAAAATTAGGTGAAGGTGGAGCTTAACTACCCTCCACACCCCTCAATTTAAATGATCATATCAAAATTCCCACCCGAAGTCAATTGCTGACAAATAAGGATGAGGGAATCTTCTGAGCACAGTGATGGAAAAGTAAACTGCCTTCCCAATAGCCCTTGGATCACTCGATTATGGACTGATTGAGACAACTCTATGGTAGGACATCTGCTTCAACAACGATGACAGCTAAGTTACACCAACAACTACACTACAACATAACTCTCCAAGGATTTAAAAAAGACAACTGGTAGAATGATCATAAAGCAAACCTCTAAGGATTTTATAAAAAACTGTCTCTAACAAGATAGATGGCTTACCATAGCAGACGTTTGTATTTCTAGAATACCTCTAGATCGACGTTTTCTATCCCTTTCAACTGCCTTACGCAGTTCCAAAAGATACACAGCAGTCGATCGTGCATCTACATTCTCTGGACGCATGTCAACTGGTTCTAGAAGTCTAGGTGCAGCAAATTCTGCTGTTGCTAAATGAAAAGCAAGTGACAAATTTTGATTGGCTGTTTTCTCTAACCGGGATTCAAATGCAAATAATTCCCCTCTATAAGTAGGAAAAATAACAAGTGAGAAATATTTTTCAATAAAGAAGCAAAGACAGAATTTAATAAGTATGTTAAATGAATGAAAATCAAAGCTAATTTATTGGTTATAAATTATTTTCATAGCACGAATATTGATGTAAACATTTCATTTTTACTCATCACCATCGGTTTTGGAGTATTAGAGTACCCTGAGAGTGATGTCACCGAATAAACTAAAATAAATTCAGTGTCTAAGATAATGTTATAAATCACTTCATGTTAGTTTACATCTTTATTTATTGGAATCTTCCATTGTAAACAATGATGTTGTTGCCTTACTTTTGAGTGGGTACACTGTGGAACGTAGAGCAGGCGTACTGTGTATGTCTGTAATGGCAGTAAAAGGGAAACTTGGCGTCTCTATGTAGCGAAATTGTGTACAACTTATATTCAATCCACCATTTGCGCAGATCTTCCGTATTGTGCTACTTCTGTGCTACTTCATATTGTGTTTCTTTGTGTTCCTATCACGTCTCCCTTGTATCTCCGCAATGCTGCATCATTTGCCTTCTCTGAAATCAAATGTATCTGCTTGCTAACTGATACTTTTAGGCTGATGGATGTGTCTTTATATATTTTTTGCTTCCTTCACGTTCCCCAGTGGAACATAGGGCTTCAACTTAGTGGCTTGAAGTTTCTGTAACAGTGTTTATTTTACAGGATGGGGTTGCTGGCTTCATGCCCAACCTTTTCCTCTTTACCGGTATTATTTCTGGCTTGGCGAGGTACAGGAGTGTGTCGGTGGCCGGGGATCGAACCCCGGACTATGTGCATGGTCGGCGAGCGTCCTAACCGCTATGGTACCTACGCACAGTTTTTGTAGATATAGTTTTTGGAAACACAAAAACTATATCTACAAAAACAAAGTATCAAGGTTCTTTAGTTACGTTTGACCTGCTTTCTTGTAGTATAAATTCTGTTCATAAAGTCATTCAGCGAATAATACTATTTCACCACATAATCTATCTTATAAATGAAGTGATATGGAATTTATTTTCGACACTTTTCCACGATATTTCACTTAATATGTCTAATGCTATTTCAGTAGGCTTTTTTAGACAAATTGCCTAATGTTGTATTTATTATTTTTCATTTGTTTAGACAACTTAAAATGTTGTGTAAATTCCTCTAGACATAAATTTGATGTTTGCCGTTCTAATCACTATTACCAGTAGGTTAATATTGTTGTTATTTCAAAGTAATTACCAGCTTTAATCTTCACTGCCTGAAAGAAACACTGGAAATCAAGGAGCAATGAACGGCTGCGTTTATCCTATTTGAGACTTCTGGAAGGCTTACTATCACAGGGAAAAGTTCAAGATCACCAGGTTACAAGACGAGTGTATTGTGTCTGGTCCACTGCGTTGCATTCTGTTAGCCACTGGCGAGAATTCTTTTGCTTTTGAGTAATTTGGTCTCCTGACTTCAGCTCAATTGAGTACACTGTTGATAAGCTTGGCGCCTAACAGACGAAATGGTCAGTCATTGTTTAGATGATGTCAACCTGTCTAGTTAGTACAATTAGTTGGATAATTGGTATCAAACTACTCCTGTCAATCACAGTCAGCAGTAAATCGCATCATGCATTTATATATGCTGCCTTGATTGCTATTTAATGTTATCAAGTGATCGTATACTATGGTCTGCAAAATTTCAGCTCTCAAAGGAAACTGAGCAACGATTTCACTTCCATCTGTTTAATCTACAAAAAGGCAAATTCTTCATTAAATGCGCCTCATGATTCATCCAGTGAATATTATTGTTACGCTATGTGTGATAAACAAACTATGATGAAACAGTATTTGCCATATTGCCATATAGTCCTAATATTATAAATTATTAAATGGTTATATACTGATTTTAAGATATACCATAGCTTTAATAATATTGCATCTGTATAAAAGGAAATCATTCCTGAATATTTATGTCTGCAAATATGATTTACAGCAGAAGGTGGTTGGATAATGGTATTATACTGGATGGAGGTTTTCATCATGAGCTGACATCAGTTAGAGAACCACTGGAAAACATGAGAGTAGTGGACAGCTGTTTCGCCCTAGTTTGGGATTCTTCATCAGTACGCAGCCACCGGGTTTCGAACAGCAGGTTTAAGATGAGGCAGTAACTCATCGAAGAAGACATTGCTAAATGGTCGTGCTATGTCGTGTATGAGCAGAAGTTAGGATTCATGGGCCATTGGATCGGGTCCCAGTGGCTCATTGGTCTACAAGCTGGCCTTGTAACCAGAAGGTCCTACGCTCGAACCCTAGCTGTGTGTGCGTACTAATGAAGAGTCTCAAACTAGGACGAAACACAGCTGTCCAGTACTCACACGTTTTTCAGTGGTTTTCTAACTGATATCAGCTCATGATGAAATTCTCTATCCCTACATAACTAATACTTGAAGAATAGTATTACATATCATTAAGCTATAGCCGGCAGAAATTCATGAAATAGAAGTAGGTAGAAACAATAAATTGCATGCTAGACGTCAAAAGAAGATATAATTCTGTTCCAAATCTTAGCTTTTGTAACTACCAACGTCACATTCAACTGTTAAAATCACAAGAATATCGCTGCACTAAAGTCATAAGTCTGTTATTGAAATAATCATAACGTAGTCTTTAAGTTGACACTGCATTCATAGCATTTTAAGAGGTAAAATCTAGTGAAATAAGGATCTGCTTCAATAATGTGGAAGAAAAAAGAGGAATTCTTAAATTCTACTAATGCGTTGAAAATGCTGAATGCTTAATCAACCATATACAATTAAGAAAATGAGTTAGCGATTAAATCATGGAAAAGTAGGATCGTATGGGCTCCGTCTGATGGTATACAGAAACATACAATACAATAGAATAAACCGTGTGTTTCTCAGCTTTTCTCATAAGTCAATTGAAAAGATAGGCATGGAAGAGGTTGACTAGTCTATGTGATGGATTAGATACTCGTATCTGAAATAAATATACATAATCTTATAGAGAATAGGTTTATCATGAACGAAACAAACACTATAATGATTAACCAACCGTTCACAGAAACTGGTAAGTCAAAGATCTATCTATCTGTACTAACTACTGGACACTTTTTGACTAGATTTTAAAAAGCTTACTGCATATGTCTTTAGCTTACTAATAATATTTAATATCTAACATCAATTTATTGAAAAATCTATTGATTTTAATGTCTTGGCAGCCCGGTTACAAAATGACTTTTGATCAGTTAGCATTAGTGGTAAATTGACACTGAATCCTAAAACATTTGACCCATCACCATTCACACTTCGATGAGTCATCAGTTTATCTTAGCCAAAAACTGTTTACATATTAAGAGACTTATGTCTCTTTCTTATTTATTTCTATAGATGAATCATTGCTTAAAGTGTGTTCTTTTTTGTAGGAGAGAGCTTATTGCAACTTAATCATCTGAGGTATTTTTTGTTACTACAATCAGTAACACAATGTGAGAAAGATTAAGCCAATAACTTCTCTAAAATTAAAATTACTCCCAGGTTTTCCAATGGTTCTCTAACTAATGTCAGCTCATGATGAAATCCTGAAACCAATCAAATCTTTACAAACCAACACTTGAATTAAAAATTCTGTCTGCACTATTCAATTCGAATTTCAGGTTTAAAATGTCTCCTTATATATCCTGTCAGCTATTGTTTTTCAATAGTTTGGTTTGTAAGGGTCAGTTATGTTTTTACGAGTTGATCACGGATCGATATCAGTTAGAGAACCATTGAAAACCAGGGAGTACTGAACAGCTGCTGTTTCATCCTAGTTTGGGAATCATCGGGAGTAAGCACCCACTGGGATTCGAACCCAGGACCTCATAAAAACATAATTAACCCTTACAAACCAAACTATAGAAAATATTGTTTTGAACAATATGTGGAGTACATGATCACTACTTTTTTCATTCTTTTGAGTCTCGAGCAGAAAATAGGGCTTTACAACAGTTTAAATAGTAGAGGTGCTGTTTTCCTACGACGCGGTGTTGCCAGCGTCCTACCTCCACTCCTCTCTTTCCCGCTCTTGTTCCCGGTTAGTGAGGTTTATGAGTACGTTGACCGAGAATCCTACCCGTACTACACCACATAAGTGAAGTTGGCAGGCATTCTACTAATGAACTACCAACACAAACTGTGAAAAAAAGATCAAGGATATCAGAAAACCCGAGTCAATTGTGGCTGTCATCATTCACTTGTAACACTGCTTAATTGTCAGTATTTTATCACAGATTAGAACTAGTTAGAGACACATGCTAATTAAATCCTATACAGCGTCTGAATGTGAAGATAGTCACCTCAAAATCTAACAGTGACACTCGATAATGCACCTTAAGTTAAATATAAACAGTGATTTGATATTACTCGATGTTTTAGTAATTTTATAGATCATTTTTATCTTAAAATAATTTGTGGGGATACATGCCTTTTGGCTTAAGTCAGTGGGATTTTTATTCCTTTTTATTCCCTATGGAACACAGCGCTTCAGGCTAGGGCTTTGAAGTTTCAGTGGCAGTAATATTTTTAATTCTTACGGGGTGGAATTCTTAGTCTCACGCTCTACCTTCCCTCATTGTCGGGCTTATTATCAGCTAAGCGAGATTTAGGAGTGTGTTTGGTGGGGTGTCGAACCCTGAAACACGTGAGTGGCTGGCGAGCATTCTACCTATGTTGAACTTTTTGATTTGACTATTTTTTTTTCAAAAAGTCAAAAAATAGTCAAATCAAAGGGTTCAACAAGTTATTAGAGGAGACATTTTCATCTCAGAACGATGAAGTCAACGGTGATCGATAAAACAAAGTGAGTTATCAATATCTCAACACATATATCAAGGCCTACAGAAATAAGTGTATTAGAAAAGGAACTAAATTTCAATGTATCAGTAGACAAGCTGAAATCTGAGGATGTCATCCCTAAAATAGAAATAGCACTAAGTGGGATAGACA